GAAGGCTGTCCAGGCCTACACGAGATGAGGCAGGATAAAGAGGGATAATCCCCCTCGATCCCAAATCATTGAGGCCAATTTCTAGCCATGGAATAATGGCGCGTGTTAGTTTTCATGGCAAATGGGATCACTGTTCAATAACCTAGTGTGTTTTAATTTCAATACAGAAGAAGAAGAAGAAGAAGAAGGAATGAAATATTTGTTTTTTTAACTCTGAAACATATTTTGTATTTGAATTTGACTATTTGTTTAACTTTGTGGACATTATATATTTTTTCTGGTATTTTTTTAAATATTGTTAGGGAATGTGTAAAAATAGACTTTCTTCGATTAACTCCAACGGCCATCCGTCAGACATGGAGCAGGAATCTGATAGTGATATAAGTGAAACCGATTCTGAATTGGAGGAAAATGAGGCAAATGATAAATCTGAACATGAAAATATCGACGAAGAACTTGTGGAAGAAAATGAGGAAGATGAAACTATTAAAGCAATCATTAGACAATGCAATAAAGAAAGAAATCATCCTACTCCCATAGAATGCGAAGATTTTATAACTGACATATCATTTCATCCACATAATAATATACTAGCTATATCTAATATAATCGGAGATGTTTTGTTATACAAATACTCTATTGAAGAAAATATATTAATTAGTTCATTAGAATTGCATACAAAAGCTTGTAGAGATATAGAATTTAGCTGTGACGGTAATACATTATTTTCTACATCAAAGGATAAATCGGTAATGATAAGTGATGTTAACAGTGGGAAATTGGAACGTTTCTATGAAAACTGTCATGAAGTACCTGTATATTGTTTAACTATTATTGATGAAAATATGTTTTCTACAGGTAATACATTTCGTAGACCTCCACCATTTCAGGAACTATATCAGCTAATCAAATAAAAATATTTTTTCAAATTTAGCTTCACATTTCTATACTGATATGACCACTTGGTCAGAATTGTTTGATCTGACATACAGTCTGATTATAAAGGCCACCCATTTTTGAACATCCTGTAAAGTATACATATTTTTTTATATACAGGGTAGGAAAGTACCGATGGTCTATCTGAAGTTACGTGAGAGCGATAAAGTAAGCCATAGAAATCCATGTGATAGACAAGGATGGGTATAGTGAAGGCGTCTAATAGTCACCGCCCATTTCGCCCTTCCACAAATAAGAAGTGGATCTTATTTGTGGAAGGGCGAAACGGGCGGTGACTATGAGACGCCTTCATTATAGCCATCCTTCTCTATCGCATGGATTTCTATGGCTTACTTTATCGCTCTCACGTAACTTCAGATAGACCATCGGTACTTTCCTACCCTGTATATTGATGCACATATTTCTTTTTGTTACTAGATAAATGGCGACATATTTTTTAAATATAAATAATAAATTTATATTTAAATATAAATTTTTTTTCATATTTTGATAGATTTTTTTTTATTCTCTTTTCAATCAAATGAAATTTGTGTGCTTTTGAATAACGAAATTTTTGAGAAAAAATGAGAAAACTTTCAGCCTTTGACTTTAGTTTACAGTACTCGCTTTCTAAATCATATCAAATAGAATGTTCATATCCTAGTTGTCAACTCCCATTAGTTTAATTTAAGGATTAAAAGTTGCTTAAATACGAAATGCATTGAAATTTGCATATGCAAATATTTCCATAACCAAGGGAGATATCGAAAACAAACAAGAGTAAATTATTTATGAAACGAAGGACGTTCTTCTAAATTCTTCTTGTAATACAGTAATAAAAGTAATAAATACCAATGATAAATGCATTATATGTCAAATCTGAGGACATCAATTGCAATATCCCCTGGATTCTGACTGTTTAGAAATGAAAAATTTGTAGACCAGCATTAGCTGTTACTTTGACTTATTTGATAGCATAGCTTATAAAACTAATGATCTGAATAAGTTTTGATTTGATAGCAGGAACCTGCTTTCTTTTTGTTTGTATCTGAAGCAAAAAATATTTTTAGGAGACGATGACGGGGTAGTAAAAATTTGGGATGTAAGAGAAAGAGACGAAAAACCAATATACAAAACAAAAAAAAATGAAGACTATATAAGTGATATGATTACAGATGAATCAAAGAAGTATTTATTATGTTCTAGTGGAGATGGATCTCTAACAACTATAAATTTGCAGAATAGGTAAATATGTTATTCAAACATATTTGTATGTATCCTGTAGTAGTATTTGTAGTTTAAAATGATGTAAGAGGGAAATGGGGGTAACTTATATGTTATAACTTGTTATTTAAATTATTAAAAGTTGTCAATTATATGAAAAATTGTTAATATAAACATTTGAAAGGTTTCTGTATTTTTAAGACAACTACTGTAATTGTACTAAATATGCCCGAAATATTAGGTGTAGCGTTTTACTGTAATGGAGAGTACATGTACATATATTGTTCTACCATCAATAATGTTTGTAAATTGCTACATAAACTTGATTGATTATCAACATTTTGAAGACAATTTTATCATTCATAGATATGTAATTTCATTAGTTAACTTTTGTGAATTTTTAGGTCTTTGTACATTTTCAATTTAAAAACCCAGGAATCTGTACTTATTAAGCGTTTTTATTATATAACAAAAAATTTGCTTTTCAACTTAATGCATACATTCTACGTTTAAAATTTCTAATGATTTTGAGTATAAAAAAGGTATATTTGTTGATGTCTCTAGAATGTATCATTCCAAATAACTGCTATCAACTAAGGATAGCTGTATATTTTCATTTTTAGTTTCTGATCCGATTAAACATGTTTTTACGAAATCTGTAGCTAAATTAAACATTTTTTATGATTTAATATAACACCTCTATTCAATATCAATGTCATCATCTAATGTGGATAGCCCTTTGAAAGTATTTAACATTTAGAAGTTTATACGAGTGGTCAGTTTTAAGGTGAAGTAAGAGATACAGATTTTACTTTTCTTATTTTACCATATCCTTTTTATTACTAAAAGCACTATAATGAAATTTGGTATGTGTATTAAGTCAATAGTTTTGTGTTAAACGGAAGGTTAAAAATTTTGCCAAATTCACTAGTCCTGCTTTCATAGCCATCTTTTGATTTTCTTATGATCACTATTAGATGAAGAATAAATTTACAAGTCAAATGATGTACTTGAATAAGAGTGATAAAAATGTTAATTTCATAATTAATTTTGCCTAATATTAGCTATGAGGCAAAAATTAAAATTTTTACTTCTAATAAGGCATATCGACTTAAGTACACATACAAAATTTCATTAAGTTAATTTATGTAAAAAAAATATGGAAGATAAAAGAAAACAGAAAAGCCTTCTTATTATAATTACTAATTACTTAGCTCTAATTTTCCTTTACCATTAATTAATTTATATCTAAATTTTAATGTAAATATAGGTACTTAAGCCCTAAAATAAATAATTAAAAAAAATCATATTACCTACCATCTAACCTCTAAACTTTAAACTGCCCATTTACTCAATCTAATAATAAAGTATATTTACTCCGGAAAAAAATGTTGAATACCACTGGTTTAAATCCCAGTAAGTGTTGAGTTGTGAATTTAGGTAATTCAGTCTAAATTGAAAAAATTGTTTCTTTTATACACAATAATAATTATTGTAAATCTTAAATATGTAATTATTTCTTCTTTTCACAGTGGTGTAACATTTATTTTTTATAAAAGGATCCAAAGAATGAAGTTTTCTAGAAAAAAAATTGTTAATGAATTTCCGAGGTATTCTTGAAAATAGTTTAAATTTTTTCAACTTCAACACCCTGTACCTCGGAAATAGTTTTTTTTTCAAAAATTTATTTGAACCTCACATGTTAATTTTAGCTATAGATTTTGCTGGTGAAGTTTGGCTGATTAATAAGTGAACACAATGTTTAAGAAAATATTCTTGAATTTGGTCAAGATTTTCACAATAAGACTGCACTAACATGTATTGTCTCTATTTTGAAAGAAATGAATACCATTTCTATAACTTCTATTTTTTATTTAATTTACAATTTTTAGAAAAGTGCATATGCAATCTGAGGAGTATGAAGAGGAACTTACTTGTTTGGGTTTATTTCGAAGTGGAACAAAATTAATCTCAGGTTCTTCAAAAGGTAAATTGTTTGTATATAATTGGGAAGAATTTGGACTACATAGTGATGCTTTTCCTGGGCCAAAAACTGCTATCAATTCCTTGATTCCCATTACAGAAAACATAGTTGTTACTGCTTGTGAAGATGGAAACTTAAGAGCAACTCATTTGTTTCCACACAGACATCTAGGAATTGTAGGCCAACATGATTTCTCAATTGAATGCGTAGACATTTGTAGTACTGGACAATTTATAGCCTCTAGTAGTCACAATAACGATATTAAATTTTGGAATATTGAATATTTTGAGGATTTTGATAAAGTTAATCAGAAACATAAAAAACATAAGAAAAAAACTGAACTCCAAAATAATTTACCATCGTCAAAAATTAAAAATGTATCAGATTTTTTTAGTGACATGTGTTAAAAATTGATTTGTTTTTTCTGTTAACTTTTTAATTACATATAATAAATAAATAATCAGTTGATTTTTATTATATTTTTTATTGCTGATCTGCAGTGTCCTAATTTTATTCTTCTAAATTAAAGTAGCTGACAACACAGCACCACAAAAAAAATGGTTTGAGCCCTGGACCACACCAGTGTATCCCAGTGGTAGCTGGGTGTGTGAAGCATCTGAGGCCGGGCCTCACTGTAAAATTTGGCTCTCACATTGTATATTTTTATACCTACTATACTATACTATTAACCTTAATAAACAGTTAGGTAAACTAAATTTCAATTACCCATTATATTTATCAAAAATCGAAGTAACAGTATAAAATAATTGTTTGAATATTAAATATCTCGTCGCTCATCGTTTCCATTGGTGCGGCATTGGATACTGTTGATCGTTACTCCCCATCAAAGTGAGGCCACAATTTCTTTGTTTGTAGGCGTAACACATTTGCCTACAGTATACTACACTACAGTAGAGATGTTGAAAAAGTATCAATTCGTTACATGAGTACTCGTTACTCGATTGGATTCGAAGTAACGATTATTCGTTTGAAAAAGTATTTGATGCTTTTGCTTATTTGATTACTTCTTGGATATAGACAATACAGAGTATTTTATATAATGGAATATGGATACTTACTTATGCAATGCTCACTTGACACTTATTCATATCAACACGAAACGAGTACTGGTTACGTTGCATTCAATTTTATTTGTTTTGTGTACCATATTTTTATACCTCTTTTATAATAGAAAAAATCTTATAAAAGACTAAAAATATGCATTAAAACTGTATATAATCAGTGGCGGTTTTACCATAAGAGGTGCGGAGCTACAGAACACATAAAATTTTATGTATTTAATCATATTAAATATCAACAAAATATTTAAAGAATCCAAATGTACTCGCGCTAAAATAAATCTAGGAGCTTATATTATTATTTATTACGACGC